TGATTTTTGAACGCATCTTTATACGAAAGTTGCATGTAAAAGTCATGCGATTTCGATAATTTTCACTATAAATATTATATGCGATACGTACAAATTTCTAAGCTTATTTTAAAGTTTTTAATTTACATCAGTTCAAAGTTTTGACTCAAAAACCAATTTTTGAAACATCAATTGTATGGACACTGTGTTTAATAGTTGACCGATTTCAATGGTTTTCAGTTTGCTTATTTATATCATAATATTGGGTTCAAATTTCAAATATCATATTTTTAGTTGGAACATTACGAAAGTACAGCTCCAAAAGCTCGTTTTTGAATATTCGTTTATAAGAGGCCAGCAGGTAATGGTTTCTCGATTTCGATAATTTTCAGCCATGAAATTTAATCTCTAAAGAGGTATTAGAACACGAAGTTTAACTTGCTTAATCGCTTTATAGTGAGAGTTTTAAGCCAAAAATCGGGTTTTCAATAATCCATGCGCATAAAGAGACTCTGTTTGTCAACTCAACAGCAGATCCAGACCTTAAATGTGTATTTTATAGAGTTTACGAGTATTTCTCCTCCTCCTTCCAATCACAAACATCAGACCAAAAAGTTCTGAAAGGTATAACCTCAAATTTACAACGGCAACACATAATTAAATAACAAAATTAGCGAGCAATAGGCGGATGGCGTGTAGCACCAAAACGAGTGGAATGCGCTACAAAATATATAAAATACCAAAACATGAAGGCGGCAAATGGTCAAACGTACGAGCACTTTGGCACGTTATGAGAACGCGGAGTACCAAGGCAGACAGAGGAAGCGAAACAAACAAACGGTAATAAGGTTGCAGCGATCGAAAGTCAGTCAGCTGCAGCGGCAGTAGCTCAACAGCATTAACAGCAAGCCGACATGACGACTTTGGTGGACGTTAGACAAGTTGGCCCACTAACTAAAATCATTGGTGAATGGCTGAGCGAGCAGGCGAATGGGCGACGGAACAAACGGACCGGGTGGGACGAGCGTGTAAATGTGAAACTGAAAAATTTCATTCATTGATAGCAATGACTGTGGTATGTTGCCGACTGACGCTGGGTGTGAGAGGTGTGTGCGTGTGTTTATGTGTGTGTGTGTTTGACAGTTGCTTAGTGTTGGCGGATGAACGTGTCAAACGCGACAAACAAGTTTATTAACATGGCCAAAACAAGTAAGCGTGGAATATACAACAAAATACATATAAAAGCGTACAACAATTGACGGAGGGAGGTAGAGCAGCAAATGAATAAAGAAACCAAATTAAGTTGGTCACTGCGTTAATCTTGGCGACTAAGTTAATAAAAGATCTTTTTAAAAAATTTCGTGAAATAAAAATACATACATATGTATGTATACACACACACAAATATTTGTATATATACTGAGCCAAACTGTGCTGTGGTGGTGTGCTGAGGTGCGTTGGCCTCAATTAAGAATTCATTTCACTCTCATTTGCCGCTAACCATGGATTGTTATGCGTATATTATTATGGTTGTTGTTGTTGAGTTGCTCGGTTGTCACTGTTGTTGCGCACTAACGCGTTCTGCAGCGACTTTTGTTCAACTGCCGTAAACACTTTGTTAGATTGTTGTATTAAAATTGGAACGCGAAAATAAATTAAAACAAGAAAAAATGAAATAAAATAAAAATTAAAAAATAAAATTAAAAAAATAAAATAAAAAAAAATAAAATAAAAAAAAATAAAAAAAAAATTAAAAAATAAATAAAAATTAAAAAATCATAAAAAACTTAAAATATATGTGTGAACAAAAGTAAACCAAATTTTATATTTTTAATTATGAGCCAAGCGTTTTTTTTTGTTATTTTGTGGCTCTTAAGCAGAAACGGTAAAACATAAAAACCGGTAGAAAAGAAAAAATTTTGCCAAAAAAAATATACAATACAATAATAACAAAAATAGTAATAATAATGGTAACAAAAGTTATATTAATAGCATTAAAAAGTAAATCAGTGGCCAACAACAATAAAATTTGTGCTCTCAGTAGTCACCTTGACGGTCGATAGACCAACAAATTTTCAAAGCAATATTTTTAAACTTTTTTTTTTTTAATACTTTTGCCAACTCTGCTTGATCGCCAAGTAATTATGATTGTTGTTGCTTTAATTTTATTTTACGCTTCCTGAAAGCAACATAATAAAATATTGTTTAACTGATTTGCATGAATTTTTTATTCATTGTGAATATTTATTATTAATTTATTTTTTAGTTGATTTCTTTATTTGACATTAAATGGATTTTTTTTCAGTGGCCGCAGTAGCTGATTGGTTAACATTCCGTACTACCCGGAAGGCCCGGGTTTAAGTTCTGGTACGACCAACATCTAAAAGTTATTGAAAATTAATTTAAATAAAAAATTAAGTAAGATTTTGAAATTACGTTCGCTCTTTGGCCCGTAATGCCAAGCCCCCCGAGCGTAATTCTGAAGGCCCCTCTTAAAAAAACCATCAGACGCTTTGCTGTTTTCGGTCATGTCGCAGTCTTTATACCTTTAATGATGATATGAACTGCATAGATTTTTATTTTAGTATTAAATATTAGTTCTCAGTTCAGAAAAAATGATTTTTGATCAAAACCACAAGCGCTGCAATGGAAAAGTACTCGCCTTGAAAGAATGTACGCTCGGTATATTCCTCGACAAAGAAGCGTTCAACAACATGCTTCCTCTATTTGTAATAGAGGCTCTTCAAAACTTGGGTCTTTAACAGCCCATAATGAACCTTATAGGGTCTTTTCTGAGAAACAGTATCAGCTCCGCAGAGATGGGCAGCATTACCATAAACGGTACAAATTGCACGCCTCAAGGAGAAGTTTTGACGCCACTGCTGGAGTGTCTAATAGCAAACATGCTGATCAGGGAACTACATAGCTCAGGCTGTTGTGTGTTGGCATACGCTAACGACTTAACCCTAACAGTGACAGATGAACATCTACAAACTTTAAGTGATCTACTCCAAAATTATCTATACATCGTTCGGAACTGTTATTAGGTTGTAAGATAAGGAGATCACCCTCTCTAGCGAATTAAAATATCTCAGCGTAATCTTAGATAGCAGACTCAACTGGGGTTTAGGACCGGGTATCGTGTACCGGACTAATACACCGGTAGCTTAACCAATCTAACTCTGCAGCGTCACCAGGAGCAAATTTTAGAGAGTTTAACGGTCGGCTGCTATCCTGGTAACAGGAGCACTTCCATCAGCTCCTTCGAAAGCCCTGTAAACTCTTGAACGAAAAACCACAAGCGGACTGCAATGCAATAAGATTGAATGCAACTCAACCTCGGAAAGATTGCAGAAGTATCGAAGAAGCTGAACTATACCACCTCCCCGAAAAGCTTTTCTCCACGAGAATCCCAAGCAGATGTCAGCGGGAAACCAAAAACGCCTCCGACCAAGGAGTCATAGCCATCTTCACAGATGGCTCGAGCTAGCATTGCCATTGCCTGAGTACCGGGACACAAGGAGGGACACACTAGTAATGGAAGGAATCCTTCTATCCACGATAAAACATGCCCTCGATGCTGGCTTACCTCTGTCCACGGCAAAGTACATGCCTCTACTGGCTTTTGCCAGGGATGCTGACTCAAGATGGCTGAACGAGATCACGTGCAACGTGACCAGACAGCTATGGTCAAATCAAATCACCCCATCCTTCTAGATCGGTTCTCAGGGGGCTTCATGGGAAGAGACGTTATAGACCACTCTAATGTTTTTTTTTTGACGCAGCTGCAGGCACGATGAAGAAGAAGAGACTATTGAGTACTATATCCGTCACTGTCCAGCCTTGACATCTGTGCGACAAAAGTTTCTTGAAAAACATTTTTCCGATGGTCTCGCTCAGAAATCCTCATCGAATATTGGAACGATGCCTTTATAAAGCCCTCGTGTGCCTTGGGGTTCGATCATTTGATCTTTGAGAAGCTGAAGGCAGGAGCCTCAGCGGTATCACAATGGGCCTATTAGCCTAATTTTATGACTTTTACCGTGTTATCATGGAGATAGCAGCTACGAATAACTTTTCGAGCAAAGCCTAGCATACGCATAGATGTTCTTCAGTTTTTTTTCGCTCTAGGCAGCTTTTACAGAAACCCTTGTATGTTATCCCAGCTCTACTGACGTGTCTGCCAATAAGACAGTACTCCTATTAGAGGTCTTATGCCATTTAAATACCATTCTGGCCTCGTTTGCTTGTTTATTGAGTAAGTCAGGTATTGTTTCTACTGAGACTCAGCTATGACAGATTTTTCAATTGAATACATTACTTTCTCTTTTCCCGTCAAGCTAATTTTGCTGTTCTCAATAATCAGGATATTATTGCCCTGGCAGCCATGGCAGGCCGATTAATATCAGAAAAAATTAATATAATTTCTCAAGAGATCTTAAGAGATTTTAATTATTTTATAGTCACCTAGTCCTTGGAATTCCTTCTTGAATTGCGGTACAGTAAACTCTGCTTGGAAAATACCACAGTGAGCTAATAGTCGGAAGGGGATTCGGTTAACTAATTTTGCTTTTATATCTAGTTCGAGTTCATCCATATAGATATTACTTATCTCTGTAGCTTTAACCGCGTCCTTTTTTGAAAGAATAATTTTATGCTTTTCAGAGCAGCTTGAATTCGCATGCAATAAACGTTGTCGGCGCTCAAAGCTGATTCGAATATTTTTCTTATATATTTCTTGTAAAAAAAATTCCAACAGTAGTTTTTCTATTTATTAAATAAAAAAATTATTACGATTTCACTTTCCTTAAATCAAAATTAGTTTTAAGAAATACGAAATTTCTTGAAAAGCGTTTTAAAAATTGTTATGTCAACACTTGAAATATATTTTTTGAATTTATTTTTTTATGAGAGAGTATTCACCTTCAATGTTGAGGATTATCTTTAAACAATTTTTGTACACATACACCAACACGTAGCTGATATAAAATTCAATTTTATTTATTACGAATTTTTTTTAGGGTCACACAACTTTTAATTACAATGTCACGAAAAAGTAGAGCCAACGACGGAGTTGCAACAATGAAAAAAGGCCGAAAATTGTCAAAACCTGAATCAAAGTGATGAATTGAGTTTGAGTTGGCGTGTAAGAATTTGCGATTTTATCCTTATTTGCGCTATGCTAAAACACATGCAATACACATACACACATACATAAACATATGCATATATGCAAGTATTTTATTTGTAGATAATTATCAGCTTATGCTTGTTGACTGTGTCTGTACGTGTGTAATTAGACTCCAAAAAAATTATAAAAAATAAATAAAAGTAATAAAAATAAAAATTTGTCTGTGACGGACTGTCTCAGCCTTGGCATTCGAAACGCTAAAAATGGCTAAACGATTTTTTTTTATGAATTACGTATTTTCAATTATATATACATAATATTTGTATACTCGTATATATACAGTATATACTTGTAAAATTATGTTCGTACGTAATCTATTTCTTTTTTTATTGTCTTTAATAAATTAAATACGCTACATAAAACTTGCATGTATTTTGTGTTTAAAATTTTCTTTTTATTTATTTATCTATTTTTAATTGTTGTTTTATTTATTCACATATCGAATTTGCATTTCATTTTTTGTTAATTTTTCTTTATTTCATTTAAATAAATTTTGATTATTTTTTGTTTTCTTAAGTTCCATTTATTCATTCATTCATTCACTCCTTTAGTGATTCATTTGCATGCTTTAATCAATTTGTCTTTCCATTTTATGCTCATTGAAATTTTTAAATATTTTATTGCTTTATTGAAATGAGTTTTATTTAATTTGATCAACAATAAATTGAGTAATGTGAAGTTTTAATAGTCGCTTTAATGGAATTTTAATGAAGCAGTGATGCACAAGTATGTGTGGAATGAATTTTTTCTTGTGATCTTTTGAGTAAGTACATCTTTTTCGGCGGAGTTTAAAATGGATTGAAAAATCTTTTTACCTATTCATCGTTATAAATAATGATTTTAGATGAATAAGTGCGAAATTTATATACCCTTTCTTTAATTATTTTATTTTGTTCAACTTGCATTTGTTTTTTGAGTTTCATATAGTTTGATTAATGGCATTTTTGTTTAAATTTTTTATTATTTTTATTTTTCTTAATTTTTTTGTTTAATTTAATTTGGTTTTTCTTCATTTTCTTTTATTTTATTTTATTTCAATTTTTAATATTTTAAGTTATTACATTTTTGTTAACATATTTCATAATTTTTATTTTAATTAATTATGTTTATTTAGTTTAATTTTAATTGATTCTATTTTATTTTATTTTCTTATTTTAATTACATTTATTTGGTTCCATTTTACTTTTTATATTATTTTATTTTATATTACTTTTTCATTTTCTGTTATTGTATTTAATTTAATTATATATTTAGTTTTTATCCATTTTTTTTTTGTGTATTTATTTGATTCACTTAGATTTATTTAATTTTATTTTATTTTGTTTGATTTTATTTTAATTGAATTAATTTGATTTTATTTATAATTTTTAATTTTTTTCGTTGTCCATCTTCCATGCGTCTTTTCACTAAGCGACTCAAATCAAAATGAAGTTATTTTATGCACAGTTCGGACTGTCACCTTTCCAACAATATATAATATGTATATATTTCTTTCACGAGCGCCACTCTCAAACGAGTCCAACGGCATCCAGCGGAATCGGGCACGAACTTATGCACTCATCCAATATTTTCTAATTTAAATTGATTTTATTCTATTTTATGTTAATTAATTTTTTTTTTTTAATTTTAACTTCATTTAATTTCATCTAATTTAATTTTATTTTATTTAACTAATTTAATTTTTTAAATTTAATTTTATTTTATATTTTTATTAAATTAATTTAATTTTCTTTAATATTATTTTTTTAGCTTTCTCCTCGTCTCTTCTTTCATCTTGTGTAATTTTATTTTATTTTATTTTTTAACTGCTTTTTTGTTATTATTGCTCTTTGTTCTGCTTGAAAAGTGCCAGTGCGAAGTGCAGCATTAAACAATATTTGAGCGCAAAAATGGCAATAAAAAAATATCTATACTGATCAAATTACAATTTTATGCAACTCTGTGTGTCGGTAATTGATTGCAAAAAAAAAAAATATATATATATGTATAAAAGCAAGAATAAAAACAAAAACCGGGTAGTAAAAATGAAGTGAAGACGAGTCATTTACGAGTTGCCTGCTAACCTCATTAGATGCAAAAACGCTTACGACACGTCAAGCCAAGCCAAACCAAGCCAGGCCGAGCCAATAATGAAGGGAAAGAGCGCGTGCGCCATTAAATATGTGCAATGATTAACTTATAGCATGTTTATGTGCACCTATACACATTACACACTTACGCTAGATGAGCGTATGTAAATTTATTACACCTATCTTCAGCTGCTGTTGTAAAGTTATATTGGCATGCGGCATGCAACACAAAGTGCCGACACTGAGGAATTTTATGTTTTTCTCTACTAAAATTCAATAAACTTATTTAATTACGTATTTTTTTTTTTGCTCTGCTCTGACGTAAGAAAGTGTGCAATAAATGAGTGGTAGGGAGTGTGGCTTTTATTTCAATAAATATTTTTAACTTATGTACATATGTATTTCTCGCTTAATGAATATGTATGAGCTCTCTGAGGTATTTAAAACGATATTATTTTATTTGATTACAAGCACTTCGGCACGTTTGATTGATTTTCTATAAGATAGCAATACTTATATAAAACTACTCAGCAAAACGAGAAGAAAATAAAAAATAGAAGAAGAAGAAGCTTAATTTGCAAAATATCGCATTTTAATTGGAGATTTTTTACTACAAATGCCTGAAAAGTTGTTCGAGGCATATACGTCATAAAGTTACAAAATATACCTATGCCTTTTGTATAATATTGATGAAGAAAATGGTAACAAGAAAGTGCACCACTTATTTTAATTAACCTTCATTAAGATCTTTTTTCCTTAATCTGATTCACTGCAGGAGAGTAATTTTAAGAAAAGACATACCGCTCAATAAATTATATTAATCTAAAAAAAAATTTAAAATAATATAAAATAAGTTAATAGAAAATACAATTAAATTAAAAAAATAATATGAACTAATAAACTAAAAAGTAAAAATTAAAAAATATACAAAAATAAAATAAAATAAAATAAAATTTAATAAAATAAAATAAAATAAATTAATATAAAATAAAAAAAATAAAATAAAATAAAATAAAATAAAATAAAATAAAATAAAATAAAATAAAATAAAATAAGATAAATTAAAATAAAATAAAATAGAACAAAAATTTAAAAAAATATTAAGTAAAAAATAAGCTGAATTAGCTTAGCAAAATAAAATTTAGAAAGTCAAGAATGATAGTATAAAAAAATAAGTGATATAAAATAAAAATACATAAAATAAATTTAATACATTAAAATAATTAAACCAAATAAAATAAATTAACAAATAAAAGTGAAAGAAATTGTATTACAAAAATAATAAATAAAATTAAAGTGATATAAAATAAAGTAATTGAAAAGTAGATTACAACAAAGTGAAATAAAAAAGATAAATCAAAATAACATAAGATAATATGAATGAAACGTAAGAAAAATAGAATTAAAAAAAATTAAAATGTAAAAACCAAAATAAAATAAATTAATTTATAATAGAATTAAGCAAAAAACTAAACGTTAAAAAATAATAAACTTAGTATATATAAATGGAAACAAAATAAAATCAAAGTAATGAGTAAAATAAAATAAACAATGTAAAATGAAAGAAAAATTAAAAATTTTAAATAAAATAATACAAATCAATCTAAGCTATAACTAAAAATAAAACAAAATAAATTAATATAAATTTATAAACTAAATGAACAATGAAAATCTATAAATAAAATGAAATAAGGTAACATATATGAAACTTCAGATATAAAAATAACAAATAAAATACGATAAATTAGAATAAATAGATAGATTTCCGCTAGGCAAATACAAATTATGTCATATATATATATATACGTTTGTATACATATTTGCATGGCAGTCGTTAAAATGGAAATGTTTAGTTGTTTCCTTCCTCAATATTTCCGCATATATGTAAACGTAAATTAACATTGCATCGTTCTATACTTATGCATAAATATATATATATATAAGAATTTCCGACACATTCTCCTTTTCAAATTATTACTATTTAAACTATTTATTAAGCTTTAATCAACATTATCTCACTCTTTAAATATAATTTTAACTTTTTTCGATTTTAATATGAAAAATTAAACATTTAATTAAATGTGGTATTATATAATTTTTTGATTCAGTATCTTCATAATGCTAGTTTTTTTTTTTTAATAAAAAAAAGAGTTGAGTTCATTTATTAATCAGTTATTTACAACACTCCTAATATAAATATATGTATATATGTGAGTAAGTTGTTGACTTGCAAGTCCATAGAACTTAACACATGACTTATTTACATTTAATATAGTCGATAAATATCTGAATGTGTGTATATACCGCATAGCTAAGAACGTTTGTATAGACGTATGTATGCATGTGAAGATTCAAAACTTAATAAATAGTAATACGTAAGATTTGTTACTTCGGAAATGGCAAGTTGGCCTCAAAATGTGCAACCTACACGCAAAAGTGAAGCGAACAGCAAACATAAATATTCTAATATATATATATATATATTCATACAAACAAACAGACTAATATAGTTCTAATATGTTCTTGCATACTTATACATATACACTGTTTATGCCCACACAGCTCAACATTTAAATATTATAGTAATATTTAAGTATGTATAAATGTGTGTATGACTGTGGCTAACATCTGTAATTTATATTCAAGTCATGTTTACATATTTGGCGTACAAGTCCAAGCTGTGGACTGAGGTGTAGCCCACTAAAGTGTAGTACGAGGAAAAGAATTTGTCACACACATACTCGTCCATACGTGTATGTAGGATTATATGAGTGTACTAATTTGTATTATCAATGAAAACGCCTTATTTCCGAATTCAAGTTGCCTTAAAGAGTTAAATAATGGTAGAGCATTGTTGTTGTTATTTACATAGAGGTTAGCACATATCTGTATATATATATATATATATATATGTATATTTTAATATTTTTCCAACTCCGTCACGCGGATATTGAAAGAATTTGCTTTTTTTCCCACACATTTTATTTAATTTATTTTATGCTTTTTTTTGGTTTTTACTTAGGAGAGCTTTTATATGTACGTATGTAAATATATTATATTTTTTGTTCTTACTTTAAGAGTAGGTGTGTTTTGGCAAAGTTTACTTTAGCACCACAATCAGGTTTTTTGTTCGAAATAAAGTCAGAAAAAAAAAATACAAATTTTTGTGGAGAGACTTCGTGTCTCTTTAAATAGTTTCTTATATGAGAAATTAATAATGTAAAAAAGCGGAAATGACGAGAGCGTCATCTACCGTTTACTTCCTGAGCATGACCTGTTTGGTTTTTGAGAAATTCAATGACATTTACGTTCGAAAATCGTCGAAATTCCAGGCACGTGGCGCTTTATCATTAATCTGAATTTTGAGCCATTTAAAAAATCTTTGAAAAATATTTATGAAAACTAAAAAAAATTGCATGGCTCGCCCATTATAGAAAGACACACAATTTGAAATAAAGCTTGGATAATTCACGAAAACCGCATCGAGCAACGGTTGAAGCCATTAGAAAGAGATAAGCCGCGTTGGAAGTTTTCTGCTAGTTGGTGATTTTTTAACTAGTATGAAACTACTCAAGCCATTCAGGATAAATATATCAGCGTATGAAATATTTTGGGTTAATATCAGCCATTTTTCACGAGATATTTTGCATTTTTCTAGAATAATGCGAAGGAACAGTTGTTTGCTCTTCAGAAATCTATAATATTTACACGTATATAAGTACGTATTTCTCAATAGTTTCGGTCACAGCACGTAAATAGAGTTGAGTGAAGAATGTGGCCTATGAATAAATGTAGATGGTGGCCTAGAGCGGAAGGAGGAGAGAGAGTAACAACAAACATTAAAAAACCCAAATGAAGTGCCAAAATCCGACGAGGGCTAGACAGGTGCAGTTGAACGCCCGATATCTTTTAGAAAAAAAAATGTGTAATTCTACATGGGTCTTTTTTACGTTCTCTAATGTCAACATTGATGCCTCGAAATCGTTTGAAGAGAGAGTATATATTTTTCAATTTCTCTTAGTTGTCATACAAACATTCGTAATCATTCCTGCAAAGCATTTTAGACTAGATGGAACTTTACTTTCCAGCAAGCTTTTAGCAACAAGAGAGTAGCTATCTCCTTATGGCATGCTTCCACATATTCACTGGGCAAGGAACATCAATTTTGCTTATAAGGCCGCAATTATTTTCAAGATACAAAAATGCTATTAAGATCCCTTTGGAAGTATGCATTTATTTACGAAAACTATTTTTTCTGAAAATTTATTGCAGAATTGTGCAAAATTAAATATATATAAGAGCAAATAACGCGGTCTACTAAAAAATTTCGGTGAAGCGTAATAAACTAGTCCTCAACTAGTTACAAACTGATACAGTTGAAATTGTTTATGTATACCATTTGGCTATCGAAATAGTCTCAATTAAGTTGATAAATGTCCTCAAACTATTGCTGAGTTTCGTAGTAGTTTCAAACTAGTTCGAAATGTCCTTAAACTATTGCCGTATCGACCACAAGAATTAGTTTATAACTGACGATATATTGCAGATATTTCACATTATTAGTAAATGTCAGGCACATTGGCAAACCTTAGCATAAACGTAGCTCACACAGAAGAAATTAACAACAACAAAAAATATTTTAATAAAATTTTAAAAATATTTTTAATGAGTTTGAAACAAAAAAAAAATAACAACATCATCTGTTTGTAAACTTATTGATTCCGACATAAATTCTGAGACACTTTTTTCAAATTAGCTGAATTTTTCAACAAAAAAAAATATTTTAATTAATTAATAATTTTTTAATAAAATTTTATAAATATTTTTTTTGAGTTTGAAGCAAAAAAATTACAACTTCATCGCGTCACTTTGTAAATTTAGTAATTTCGACATAAATTCTGAGACAATTTTTTCCATATTTTTTTTTTTATTTTAAAAAATAATCTTTTTTTTTAATTATAAAAAAATTTTAAATTTTTAATTTTTATTTAATGTTTAGTAATAACAATATATACACTCACCTGCATACCCGTCGGCCGCAAATGTTCATTCACCCAATTGCGAAACGTATTCGCCTGTATCTCCACCCACAAATCCTCATTGCCACGTATATTCATACCCTTGGCGGCAGTGCCTTCGGGACTGCGCGCCACTAAGCCGGCATGCGTGATCTTTTGCGTTTCGGTGCTGCCATCGGTGTTGTGTTTGAGCAGACCGGCATGCGTCACTTTGGCACCTTTAATATCTTTCACATCCATCCTGCGCGAGGATGTCGCTACACTAGTACGTTATGCGCAATACTCGAATCGCTTTTCGTATATATGTATATATATATATATCTTTTTTTCTTCAATATTTTCTTATGTAATATTTTTTTTGAACGCTTCACCTTTTAGTTTTGAGGCAATAAAGTTACGCAAAAAAAAAAAAGAAAAAGTAAAATGTGTAAATTAGCGTTTAACACAATTTGCGTTTTGTTTTCATAATGAACTTCGCACAGTTACGTTGATATTGGCTAAAGGAATGTGGTTAGAAGAAAAAAGAATAAAAAACACTTTAACAAATATATACACTTGTACAAAAATCCGCAGCCTATTACGTGCGTGCTTTGTTCTCTTCACAATTTGCTGTTATTTATTATTTACTAGAAGAGGATTCATTTATTTTGTTGGCGATCACCTGCTGCGCGCACACTTACAAACAAAAGTATATTTGTAGGTATTTTCGGCAGCTTAGAATATTCCAAAAAAAAAAAAATAAATTATATAATATTATATGGGTATTTATTATAATATTTTTTGGTTTTTGTAGAAGTTAAAGAATAAAAAGAAAATTTATTGAGTATTTTAACACATTTTCAATATTTTTCCAACACTTTTCTTTGTTTTTTTTCATATATTTAAGTTAATTTTATTTGTATTTAATTTTTTTTAAATTTTTTTCACACTAGAATTACCCACTTTTCTACGCTTCGATTTTTCGTTGTGTGCGCGCTCAGCCACTGCTGCGCTCAGACTGAAACGCGTTTTTGGCCAAGTTCGCTAATACCTTTTGCCAAATGCTATGTACAAAATAAATAAGAAAAAAATTAAAAAAGTGAATAAATCTTTTCAAAAATTCTCCGCTTGATTCGTTCACCAACACACACAGCCGCCCAACGCCTCGTCGCACACTCTCCCAGCCTTCAAAGCAGCGAAGCAAACCTACACAATTTCAACCTTTCGAGTCAGTCAGCCTACTCATTTTTTAACTCACTTCACTACAAGTATACATATTAAGACCGGGCTTGAAAAACCTGCCTCAGAACGTCAACAAACCACAAAAAACGATGACGTCATGCATGGCATTTCGAAAATGAAAATGAACAACTCAGCCACTCGCTCAGTTAAACTTACAGCCAGCACACACACAAGCTCACATGTATCGATGCGCTCCCACAATCCACTCACTCACCTCACCTGCACACACACCCAGCGTCTGCTTATGTATTCAGTTTTAAACAACAACTAACAACAGAGTTGGTGGTAATGGCTTAACCGGTGATCGCTTGATTATTACTCTCTTTAAAAATTTTGCGCATATTTTGAGTGGCGTTAGAGATACGCTGCTATGCTCTCACTTGCCTAACTTGTTTTTGGCTTTGAAATAACAAAATGAAAATGCGTTACCTGCCTGAAAAGCGATTGCTGATTGTTAAGCGAAAAAAAGTGAATAAATAGATTACAAAAAAAAAAGAAAGAAAAGAATAATTTGAGCGCGCAACTTAATGCGAGATCATAAGTCAAAAATCAGCGGGAGAAAAAAATTGTAATAGACAAATATTGCAAAGTAAACAACGGCGAATGAGAGTGGAGAGGGTAAACAAGAAAGCTAATTAGTCTTCAGAGATGTTCACACTGAGAAAAATTTACGGCACAATTAATGTAATTTTAATATAAAATAAAACTGATTTCATTAAATATTTCCTTTTTTAATAAATATATTAACAAAAAATGTTAGATTAAATTAACGATCAATTATTTTTATAATATGTATTGTATCAACCGCTCGGAGGGGTATTAAAGAGAGTTATAGGTTTCGTTGGAAAAACAGTAAGATCTATAGTGGATTTAGGGTTTAGAGATTGTGAAATCAACAAGCTCATGTATATAAAAATTTACTTGCAATTTTGTTTGATTATGGACTAAGAAGCGATCTTTTTACTCCTCTTTACTTGAACTTTAGTATATTGGTGGCTTTTTGTTTAGATTAACAGGAAGACCACTCTTACCACCGGGAAGTGAGCCAGAGACTGATGTATTAAAAAAATAATAATTTTTGGCTCGACTTACTTGAAATTCAGTATGTACAGCCTTGGCCAAAAGTATTGGGTTGCCCAAAAAGTGATTGCGGATTTTTCATATAGTCGGCGTTGACAAATTTTTTCAACGGCTTGTGACTCTGTATTTGCTTTCTTTCTTCTGTCAGTTATCAGCTGTTAAAAGTGCGCGAAATTTCGTTTACATTGGTTTGTTTGGCGTCAATTTTAAATTCGTGGGCTCCGAAGGAGCATTTTCGTCATATTTTACTGTATTATTTCCGTAAAGGAAAAAACGCGGAGCAGGTTGCTAAAAAGTTTCGAGATGTGTATGGTGATGAAGCCTTAAAAGGAAGACAGTGTCAAAATCGGTTTCGCAAATTCCATTCTGGAGATTTTTCACTTAAAGATGAGCCACGTTCCGGTCGGCCAAATGAAGTTGATGATGACCAAATCAAAGCATTCATCGAATTGGATCGTCATGTAACTGAGCGTGAGATATGAGAGAAGTTAAATATACCAAAATCAACCGTTCATTATCACTTAAAAAGTCTTGGACTGGTGAAAAAGCTTGATATTTGGGTACCACATGTATTGAAAGAAATTCATTTAACACACCGAATCAACGCTTGTGATATGCACCTTAAACTCAATTAATTCGATCCGTTTTTTAATCGAATCATAACTGGAGATGAAAAATGGATTGTTTACAACAACGTTAGTCGAAAACGATCATGGTCCAAGCATGGGGAACCAGCTCAAACCACCTCAAAAGCTGATATCTACCAAAAGAAGGTTATGCTGTCTGTTTGGTGGGATTGGAGAAGCGACCAGAATTGGTCAATCGTAAAGGTGTCATATTCCACCAGGACACCGCACACATCTTTGGTCACTCGCCAAAAACTGAGTGAGCTTGGCTGGGAACTTTTGATGCATCCACCATATAGCCCTGACCTTGACCGTAAATGGTAAAACTTTCGGCAATGATGAGGCTATAAAATCGCACTTGGTTCAGTTTTTTGCAGATAAAGGCCCGAAGTTCTATGAGCGTGGAATACTAAATTTGCCAGGAAGATAGCAAAAGGTTATCGAACAAAATGGCAGTTATATATTTGATTAAAGTTCATTCTAAGTTTTATTAAAAATGCTTACTTTCTTTTAAAAAATCCGCAATTACTTTTTGGGCAACCCAATATTAGTCACCCCACTAAAATAAAAGAATAATAATACTATATGTGGCTATCAAAGTTAGCATTTCTTTTTGTAAATGTCTTACATGGCTGTTTAACTGTTGGTTAAACGAATAAATTGTGTAATATTAAAAATCATATTCTTCTGGGTAAGCTAAACATAAAGAGTAAATTACATTCAAGTTCTAAGTGAAGAGGAATGTATCAGCTTGAGATTACCAATTTGGTGGGATGTTCCCGGTGTGCGGTCCAATGTGCTATCGGTGGAAGTGGAAGAAAGCGTCTCACCAGTAAACGAGAAGACCGTATACCTCTACTCGGGCCTCTCAAGGATCGTGAAAATTCTTCTTCTGTTCTTGCAGCTGCCCTTTCGGGTGAATCTAGTAACCCAGTTAGTGCTCGGACAGCTAGAAGTAGACTTCAGGAAGGATGTAAAGCCCGAAAGAAGCCGTGGTTCTCGGAAAAGAATAGGAAGCATCGTTTGGAATGAATTCGCCGATATCAATCTTTCACGGAAGAAGATTGCTCAAATGTTCTGTGGTCTGATGAATCAAATTTCGAGGTAAGCATAATTAAGATCGTCTTAAAGTATTATGAACCGTAGCTTCTTACCATAGAGCAATTTTGAAGACTTAATACAAATCTTATGAAAACAATATGTTTTCTTTTGTACAGATATTTGGAACACCTGTTGAGACATTCGTTAGGCGACGGGTAGGGGAAGAATATCATTCAGATTGCGTTGTACCCACTGTTAAGCATGGGAGAGGCAGCATTATGATCTGCGACTGCATGGCTGCTGATGGTGTCGGCGAAATCTTCCTTTGCAAGGGTCGCATGTACAGTCTAAAGTACATAAATTTAGTAGAAGCTGTTCTAAGTGCGAACGAATGTGCAAAACCTGTATGCAGCATGCCTAAGAGAATTGCTGCCGTTATTAAATCGAAGAGTGGATCTACTAAATATTAATGTTATTATCAATGATTCTTTGTATTTTCACTGTTTTACTAATGAAACTTCATGACTTCACTTGTTAAAACGAAAAAAAATCAGTAATCTGTGGGGTGCCTAATACTTTTGGCCAAGGATGTAAGATTTTTTTTAACGTTCTTTGGGGTACCAATTAGAATGAAAATTTGGGAAAAATATAAAAAGCAACAGCAAAGTGTGACTTGGTCTGCTAGTGGCAGTGCTAGTAATTTTTTAAACCTTTTTTGTATTGTTTTTTTTTTTTTGCTTATTTCATCAATTTACAACTGACTTCTTGCAGATATTCTTGCGTGATTTACTGCTTTTTAATACGATTAACTGTTTCGTGTTCATTGGCTGCAAACTTTGCCATGACATAAGCCTGCTCATACACGTATGTATGTATATGTGTAATTTAAGTAATACATACATATTAATTATTTATACATATTGCTCTCTGGACAATAATAACAAGTCAATAACTTGTGAATGAAAATGTTGAAAATATTTTATTTTATTTTATTTTAAAAATAGAGAAAAATACATATTTATTTGCAACGATATACATAGGAGTATGTATTGTATAATATTATATTGCACAACACTTCGGTCAAGTTTGAGTGTATTGAAATAAGAAATTCTAAAAATTTTTGCCCATCTTTGCGTTGACACCTGTATGCCTGATTGACTAAATATGTGAGCTTCAGTAACGCAAGCTGAGTTATAGTTATTTGTATGTATATATGTAAGTTTATAAAAGTATGATACGTTCGTTGTGCTTGAGTGCTTTTTTAAGTACACA